GGACCCAACCGAAGACCGAGCTGTACACCGATGGGAATCCTGGGCCTAACGAACTGCTCTTATCATTCCAGACTTGTGGAAAGATGTCGGCGCCGATGAGCATATCGACTGGAGCAGGTTTGTCGAAACTCGGATCTGCCAGAGTCAAGTGGCTACATCTAGCCCGGACCTGAGCGGGTAATTGCCGAGCTGGCATGTCGGTAGTGATTGAAGACAGCACCCAAGGTTTGACACTTATTGACGGCGTAGGGCGATCTCGCGGCTGGATCTTCAGTTGAACGACGCCGTGTACATCCGGTACCCTTTGACCAGACAGTCCTGTGACGGGAACTGTCCAACGCGATGGTTTGAGCCCCAAGCGCTCACAGCAACTTGATGTTATCGCGCTTATCTGCGAAGCCGAATCGACTAGTGCACGTATAGTGCGGCAACTCCCCACTGTGTCCTGCACTTGGACCAGAGCTGTCCCTAGTAGCACCGTTGGGGATTGTAGCCGACCAAGCATGGCAGCTGGTGGACCGACCGTCTTCGAATCCGAATCGCGATGTAGCAATGCATGATGACGGCGCTTACATGTGGCACATGACGTCGAACACTTGAAAGACATATGACCTTCACCAAAGCAGACCATGCAGAGACGATGAGTGCATACGATTTTATATCGCTCATCGACAGACAAGGCCTTGAATTTTGAACAATCGGCTAACTGGTGAGCACCAGAACACATGAAGCACTTCGCGGAAACTGACTTTGCTTGGATCATTCTGGACGATGTAGGTTTGGCAGCTGCTGAAGAATTAGTAGCTACTAAAGTTGTCTTAGCATCTCGCCGGAAAACAGCTTTCTTGTTACTGGCCGGTTTGGACGAACTTCCCGACGGCTGTACACCAGCGTTCTCAATAACCTGGATCCTTGCCTTGACAAACTTGATCACACTCTGGATCGATGGATACTCTTCGTTATTTTCAGACTCGAACTGGCGTCTAGAAAATGTAGGTAAGCACCGAGCAGCCAACGAGAACAACAAGAACGACGATAAATCCGGAATCTGAAGCGATTCCAAGATCGCAATATTTTCATCAAAAACTGACAGGAACTTCTGCAGAGCAGCATGATTCTCCGAACTAGCAACAGGAGCGTTTATCAACTTGTCGATGATTGACGACGCCAATCTGCGCGGCTTGTCATAGCGTTCGACCAACGCATCCCAGGCAAGGGTGAAAGACTCGTTCGAAATGGAAAACCCTTTGATCACTTCCTGGGGATCGGGGTGAAGACACCCTACCAAATAATAAAACTTGGTTACATTAGGAATCTTGTCATTGTTGGCTACCAAATTGCCGAATAAGTCCCTAAAGGCTGGCCAGTTCTGGCATTCACCGTCGAAATATGGAAGGGGAATTTCAGGTAGTCTCATGGTTGCCGAAGGTGAAGGCGCATATGGTACAGGACAATCTTTGGACGACCCAACAGAAGTACTCGAATTGTCACCGGTGGTCTCATACGTCACTCGCTGAACAGTACCAACGCTCATACATGAAGCTGGTTGCGCTTCATTCCACACAGCCTTAATTTCCACTACCAATGAACGGACCTCAACATCCAACCCTACCGGAAACTCGGTCAGCAAATCCAAATCAGATAAGATTGACAACAATCCATTATTTTCTACCTCAAAACTGGCCCACAATGCATCCAGGTCCTGAATAGCAACAGCTAACTGAGGCCGAACAGCCTGGTCAGTTGCTAAACTAGAAGCCAGTTGATGAATATGGCGAATCCTAGCCACTATACCATCTCGACGTAGAATTGTTCGCTCCTTAGCTCGAGCATCCCGTTCTGTGTCAACCATGTTACCAACACACTAGTATGCACAAGACAGTCAAACCGCAGTAATCAAACAGAGCAGAATATGATTAGTTGTTGAAAGTCAATACGATATAGAACAGATCAAGTGCAAGAGCACAGGCACGCTCAAACTATTCAAATAATTAATATGATATCACACAATGCAAAACGTTGAGCAACGATGCCAAATGATAATGATCAAGTAGTAACAATCAAATTGATTAATTAAAGGTCAGAAGATATAATTGACATAGGCAACACCTATGCAACCACCAACCTACACTAACTATACAGCTGATAAAATAGAATTACAGATCAGAAGATGAACAACGTCAATCAACAATAAACAAATCAACTAATAAAAATATAATATGAGCGTTGGTGTAGGCAATAACTAGACAAGCAACTGATTAAACGCTAGCTCACACTCAATATAACAACTACCTAATGACAGTTAAGACAAATTAAAATATTCGGGGAGCACCTACAATAATAATTTAATCAGAACCCAGGTGTGACCGAACAAAGCAATACTAGTTATAATTATTAAATTGATTATAATAACTATGAACTAGAGAAATAAACAATTATGTAGTATATAACCCTTAAACTTCAGTTGAGCAACGCTAAAGAGGATAATATAATACAAACAATAAAAGTAAAAATATTATTATATAAAGTTATAGTACAGTACCTGAGCAATGGCACGACCCACGACGCACACCTAAATCTTATGCTATACAAATATATAATAAATATAATAACTAGGTGTACTGACAATGCTACTGTTAAGACTCAACTGTCAACAGCAGACAATAAAATAATAATAAACAACCCAATTAATTAAATAAACTGTAATCACTAAGGTAAGTGTTCACTAGACCAGCAATCTGTAAGCAAGAACCTATAGTTATACCCAATATTAAAAAACCAATAAATAAATTCAACCCAGGGAACACTGGTATAATAACATAATTTAATTAATTGTAATAGGTAATTAAAGTAAATTTAAATTAATTAATTATAATAACAACTTAACCGCACGAGCACGGATACAGTGAATATAACTCAACACTAAAATAATAAGTTTAATTATTAAAAATAATGTAACAATTGACTGAGCAGTCGGTTGAGTTAAATTCTTATACCTATATTCTACTAAATAGTACCCACACTATATATACTAATATTGAGACCCCATAATCACAAATATAATAAATAATAAGCGAAGCTAGTAATCTTAATAGCTAAGAGCACTAAGTAGGTAGGAATTAGGAATGGGATAAATAAATTTCAACACTTTAAACTCATATGCTATAGCTACAAACAAAATGCACTACTCACATGTATCCTGAGTACCAGATCTGTTGATGGACCAATCAACCACGCTCTGCTACCAAATGTTTGCGCCGACGATCCTGACTAGCGGTTGTCGTCTGACACACGGTCCTCGGGATAAAGGCGGGGCAGGGCAAATGTTAAATAACAACAATTTGAGTTTAAATATACAAGAATTGGCATGTATTAAGTCTTACATGCACAACAAATTAATTGTATCTATCAGTACACAAGTTACAGGGGGGGGAAACGGGGATCACCGACTGAGCTGCCTTCCTGGCCGATGTCTTGAGCTGGTGAACTGTATGTGCGGAGCTGCTGTATGTGCGGAGCTGCTGTATGTGCGGAGCTGCTGTATCTGGATCACGGGTGCGAGCGTGTGCACCGTCGTGTCGTGGAGCGAAGAACGTTCAACCGCGCACGTGGACGCGAAGAATGGTATAGTAGGTAAAGCTACTCGGAGCTGATTGTCACGAACTTGACGAGAGCAGACTGGACGACGACAGTCAATAAAAGATCAATACGGTTAATCGGCCGAACAACCGCGATGTTTAATACTGAACAATAAACACGTTTTCCGTAACTATCCCAAACGGGAAAAGATGGCTGACGGGCGAGCGAGCAGAACAACCGTGTTGACGGAGCGGTCGGGTACACGTTGCAACGGAAAAACGGAGAGAGAGTGGCGCGTACGAACGAGCTCGCCTGCGCCGGGCGCCGGTAACAGCCTACCAGTGTTGCCAAAATTGCGGCTGCCGGCGCGCAGCGCCCATGAACATGGTTACTGCGGCGGTCGGTCGAGCGTGACCACCGACGGCGGCAATGTTGTTATCAAACGGATCGAACAAGCATATTCTGTTAGCATAAGCATATATTACATGTTTATGTTTATTATACAACCAATGGTTAAATTATTATATATTACTTTAATACATGTATATTGTATATAGTAAACTATAATAATTTTGAAATCCTGCATAAAAAGTATATTTAATAATATCAACATCACTGATATCTTCATAACTAATTGTTTTACTATCTGTACGACTGTACATTAAAATATTACACAGTCCACTGTACAAAATAAATAAATATATAAGCATAATATATAACAGTTTAGTATTTACATATTATTTCATTATAATTAATTTAGATTTTAGCGCTAAAATGTTCGACATGATTCTTCCATGATGAAAACATTACCAACTCTATGGTGATTGGTTGGGCTCGTCACTCCGTGGTTCAACGTTCAACCATTTTCTTTTGTATTCTTGTCCATGACCCATGTCAGGCGAATGTCGAAACTAGAACTTACTTCACAGTTTTCTTAATCTAGAAAATATACTGAATTGTAAATACTAAAAGTTCGATGTTTTAATGTTCTCGCCGTTCTCGCCTTCTCGGTTTACACTGTTTTATAGTGTTTTCAATTCTCAATTCATATTTTCATATCGCCAATCAGCATTATATCGTTCCAATCTGTGGTTAGCTAGTGTTTGATACTTCGATCACCATTTGCCATCACATTATCACGACAATATTCTTACTTTTTACTAAAAAGGTTTTAGTTCTTACTGTTCTCCGCTTTTCTAATATTCTGTCAAATTAATGAAGTTTAATTTTAATTTTATTTCCATTTAAGTGTTTTAAGTTATACCTAATGCCTATCAACCTAACCCTATAATTATTTTGTTTCTATTATTTATATTAAACTTAAAGGCACATTTAAATTCGATCAATTATTGCTAAATTATTGTATTGTTGTGTAGGTAAAAGATAGTTATCATATTATTTTCAATAGCTTCAAACTAATCATGATGAACGGAAGTGTTGGTTTGGTAAGCACAAATACTTCCTTTTTTAAGTATAATTTAATAGTGTTAAGTTATATTATTAATTATTATCATTTAATAAGTAGGTATTTTTATTTTAAATATATTTAATGATTCAAAATCACTTTATTATGAAACTTTAAATCTAATTTTGTAAAAACAAAATAAAATATATAAGTATGTTACTATTATGTAAGTAATTAACCTTTACAAGTTGTCATAAATAAATTCTTAGTTTCTATGATTAGGTAGTTATTACTAGGTTTAACAAAATTAAATATTTCTCTCTAAAATTTTTTTTTTGTTTATGTAAACATCTATGCTGTATTTATATTTTATTTATACTTTATTTACCAATCAAAAGTCTAGTAGTGTAACTTCTTCGGCTGTTGTAAGTGTCCGTTAAATGTTCTCTTTCAATGCTTGCCCTTTATGTATTGGAGGTTTTCTTAGTTTTTTTAATTTTCCAAGTACTTTTTGTACTACTTAACCTACTTTTTGTAACTTGTAGTATTATATTTATATATTTTAAGCAGATCCATGATCATAATACCCATTTTACCTAAGTGATTTAAATGCTGTTGCCTGTTTTCGGGCCGTCTTAAGGATTTGCGAGGCCCAGGGTGAAAACCAATTTTACCACTTTTCATACGCGAGGCCTCCAAATGTAATTGTTTTTAATATTGATTAATTTTACGTATGGGTAGATATGTTTAACTATGATATATTTACTCTTGTGGCTACATACACAGACTAAATAAAGTACAGAAAATTAGATATTTTGTTGTAAAGGTTAAGTAGAAAAATGTGATTTTATATATACAAAATTAGGTAACCTGATAATGTTTAAACATACCTAGTTTTAAATATTATGAATATTTTGTAAAAATATATTTTAATTATTACTTAGGTATAACATTGACAATAATTATGCAGAGTTGCGTAACAAAAAAAAGTTGATTAATAATTAATTGAATAGCTCACTATAAATGTAATAGACCAATAATGGGCCACTAAATCATGTTTAAGGGACCTACCCCACTATTGATGCATTGAATAAGTAATTGTTTATACAACCCGTCATTAGTATAGTTTAATAATATAATGTAACTATTTAAATAATAAAAAATAAAAAATAATATTTTTATTAATCATATGTAATAATGTATTTAATGTATTATTTAGCAACAACAACCATTTATTAGCTCACTATCAACAGCTAATTCCAACAACTACCAACCTGCATCCGTCCCTGCACCAGTCATGTCAAATGGTACAGAAGAGGAACCAGAAGCTAAAATACCAAAACCCGAAGGTATTGTATTTTTAGTTATTTTTAAACAATTTAATTATCATTTTGTTTAAAATTAAGGTACTAAGATCCCTTTTTATAGACTATACCTACATGTTCATGTCTTTATATTTATATATTTTTATGGGTACATATTATATCTAATAATTTTATAGTTAATAATTTCTTTGTAATTCAATATTTTTTTTTAGGTTTAAATAGTTTCCATATCTACATATTAAAAACTGTAATAAATCAATTTTTAAATATTGAAAATAAAAAATTCCATGTTTGTGATAAAAAAAAAAATAGCAATTAAATTAATTTATATTTGTATATGATTTAATTCAAAAACATTCAATATCTTCAAACTCAAGGAAATAACTTGACATATAGATTTTTATAAACTAACTGTTAGGAGACGTTTTTTTTTTAATACAAATTTGTGTTTTTAAATATTTATGAAATACATTCAAAATAATGTTAATCTATTCTATTATATATTATTTAAATATCAGGCTGACTATTTTTTAGTTAATTCTCTTAATTCTTAAGAAATATAATTATTTAGTCTAATAATGTCACATATTTCAAAATAAATCAAAAAAATATACTCTAACTATATAATCTTTACCAGTTAAAACTAATAAATATTCTTTTTTTTTTTTTTGAGATGTTCCAGGCGGTTTACTGATAGCACTAGTCTATACGCTTCTCACACATCAAAAGATTAAATTACCTAGTTTGTAGGGAAGGGTGTGTACAATACTTATAAACATTTATTTTCATGTAATTATTTTTTTTTATGTATATTTTACTAACCTTAGTTCATCGAAATGTTCCATTTTATTAACAAACAGAACAGAGAGCTAAATATGACTCAATTATGTTTGGTATGCTAATATTTGCAAATTGAACCATTATTTTATGATGTATTTGTTTCTCAAAATTATTATTCTTTCCCTGGTAAAAAAATAAAATAATATTTAAATTGTTTCACATTAGGTTATGGTTTAATATTGATTAAACTATGAATAATATGTTAGAACTCAAAAAAAAATAATATTTATTTATTTATCAGAAAATCATCATTAAATATATCTATACAAATATTAAATTGCCAGTGAAAAATTCATCAAAATTTCCAAAATTTAGCAACTTTTCTTCTTCGACAACAACCTTAATCTTAAATATTATCTTAATAAAGTAATAAGTAGGTTTAAAATACTATTATATCATGGTTGCTAAATTCTTTTTTTATTAATGGTTAATGGATGCAGGTAAATTTTCTAGAATCATATTATTCATCCAAAATGTTGTGTTTGTTTTGGATCAATTGATTTCAGTTTTGGAGTTAACTTTCAAATTGGTCCATTTGGTAGGCCTGTGGTTGTTTAAAAACGTTGTAAGTATAATTGACGACTAAATTAGGAGAATTTAAACATTTATCTACTTTATATTTTATTTTGGTTTGTTTTTGTTTTCGTCATGCTCTTCTGTGTTGTCTCCGGACCAATATCCCTCTACTAGCAAGTGCAGCCACCTGAACAAGTCAGGCCTACTACCCGTTGCGGTTAAGGTCTCTAATGGAAACACAATATATTTGCTCATACCATAATGGTGTTATTTGATACATATTAAACATTCAGCAAATAACATATTTAAATTAAATACATTAACATGAAAACAATTAAAACATTTCTCATAAATTAGTAAATATTATTTCCTCCTATTCTACATTGTATTTAAAAATATTTTTGCTGTTTGTTTATTAAAAATATAGTTTTTGCAACTTCTTATAGATAGCTTTAAAGAACGACATGTTTTAAATATTTATAAAATTATTTTAATTGTATTTATAATTTTTTCTTATAACTTATAAGTGAAAAATATATATTCATTTATTTGCTGAATAGTATTTTATAAAATTATATTTATGTCAATGCTTAAAATATCTTAGTTGCATAAATTATTTGATATATATATATATAAAATAAATTATATTCTTTTCAGGCAATATTTCATTCTTTCTTAATTATTCTTAAAAAATAAATTATCTTGACGTTTAATGTTTATATCCTCTTGAGTTAAATTATTTTATTAACATGTTTTTTCCTTTCAGTGAATGGAAATGCATCATTCACTACTGCACCGTATGATTTCAATCAAGTTGGAACTTTAATCTCAGGTACTTAATTATTTACTTATGGTAATTTAATTTGAATAAGTTAGGTTATATGCCATTATGAATGACTTAATTATTGAATTGAGTCTGATAATAAGTTGTATTTTTTACTAATATATCCTATAAGTTTAAAATGGTATAAATATTAATTTTTTCTCAAACTTGCTAAATTAAAATATATTCAAATTGTTCAATTATTTATGTTTTATATGATAAACACGATTATGCATTAAACTATTTAAATGCTTAATATTCTTGTTGTTATTCTTATACTCAGATTTGTTGATTTTGTGGATGTTAGTATAACACTTGTTGTCTTTCATTTTATTATTGAAAAACTGCTTTTCATATTTTATATTTTGGTTCTAGTCCTATAGATTATTTGACTCTAAAAATTACATAAGATAATATTGTTTGATTGTGGTATAATGTTTGTGGTATAATGTTGAATTATTAAATGATTTATAGGTCCTGGTTCAAGACTTGGTATTTTAGGTGCACTTGCTGCTCCTTTAATCAAATTGAGTACGGAACAAAATGAAGCTGTTGCCAAAGCCAAAAAATATGCTATGGAACAAAGTATTAAAATGGTATTAATGAAACAAACATTAGCCCATCAACAACAACAAGCCAAGTCATTCCATCGGCACCAAGCTTTAATATTAATGTGCCGGTCAGTTAAATGTTCACTACAATTTTGTAGATAATTTCAATTCATTAATTAAACAATATGATGTAAAATAATATACGATATTGAGAGTTGGTTGAGACTAATATCTTTTATTGTGTTTCCCTAATTAGTGATTAATTTGCTGATAAGATCTGATTGTTTAAAAATTATTTCCATGAATTGTATTCAAACCAATAAAGTATATTAATTTGACATATTATAATGTTTAGAGTGTATGTTGGAAGTATTAGTTTTGAACTTAAAGAAGACTCAATTAAGCAAGCATTTTCACCATTTGGTTGTATTAAATCAATTAACATGTCTTGGGATCCAATTACTCAAAAACACAAAGGTTTTGCATTTGTAGAATATGAAATACCAGAAGCTGCTCAGCTTGCACTTGAACAAATGAATGGAGTAATGCTTGGTGGTCGAAATATAAAAGTTGTAAGTATTACATACATGTTCTTATAATCTTATAAACCAATACTTTGTCCAAGATAAAAAACACATTCGGCGGTTGACTGGTGCACAGAGGAATGGCAATACCACACAGCTGGTTTATAGATGGATGACTCAGTGAAGACGACAAACGGTTGTTACCTGACTGCCACTGATGAAAACTGGTCGCTGCTGCCTGTGTTTCTTATTTTGAACAGAGTATAGTATTATTGCCTGGTTAAGAAAAAATGATATATAATTAGTAGTTTTGCAGTAAAAGCCATTATAATATGTATAACACTGTCTTTGATTTAGGTTGGGCGTCCTAGCAATATGCCACAAGCACAATCTGTTATTGATGAGATTCAGGAAGAAGCTAAACAATATAATCGTATTTATGTAGCATCTATACATCCAGACTTAACTGAAGATGATATAAAAAGTGTATTTGAAGCATTTGGCCCAATTAGGACATGTAAACTTGCGCAAGGTAGTACACCAAACAGACATCGTGGCTATGGTTTCATCGAATACGAGGGTCGTCAAGCGGCTATTGAAGCAATATCTTCAATGAATCTTTTTGACCTTGGAGGGCAGTATTTAAGAGTCGGGCGTGCCATTACTCCTCCAAATGCGCTTCATGTAAATTTAAAATATTTATAAATGAGATACATATTTTAATATTAACATTTTCAGGGTCCTTCATCTTCAAGTCATATGCCTACAGCTGCTGCTGTTGCAGCTGCAGCAGCTACAGCAAAAATTCAAGCGATGGATGCAGTTGCTACTAACGCAGTTTTAGGTTTAAGTAAATTAAGTTCTCAATTAGGTGCTCAAACTGCTGTCTTACCTGGTTTACAACAGTTACCTACTACATTAGGTATAACTCCTGCTGTTCCAGCTGCTACTATACCTCCGCCAGGAATTGCTATACCACAACAAATTAGAGCTCCGGTACCAATAATACCAGGTATCTCAATTTTTCTATTTGTACGTTTTTGTACATAATAAATCAAAAAGATAAAATATAGGTATTGTTTTTTAGGTACCACAGGATTGAGTCCAGTTATTCAACAATCTATACCTCCGCCAACACTTATAAATCCTACGCAATTAGCTGCCCCTGTAATTCCAACAGTAACAGCAGATGCACAAAAACGGGCTGATCAACAAAAAAAACAAGAAGAATTACAAAAAAAATTATTGGAAGAAACTGAACCTCAAACATTACAACAACAAGAAAACATGTCTATTAAAGGACAAAGTGCTAGACACCTTGTTATGCAAAAATTAATGCGGAAAACTGAGGTAAATATAATAACATTTCACTAAACCTACAGTCTAGTCGTCTCACCAAACTTAAGTATATCTATAAGACTGATACTGGAATGTAAATAGTTAAGGATCGAAATTGAATATTTAGAACTAATGATTTAAATGGGTACTTGGATTTAAATTAACTTCATAAAATATTAGATATTTTAGTATTTGAGCAGAGTGTTGAATGTATTGATTTAACAGTGTACACATTACGTGATTTAATTACATGTGTTGTTTTTTTTCGACATGTATATGTTTTTTGGCTGTGGTCATTCTATAATTTTAGGCGACATAGAGAGTGTTAATATGACGTCATTGTGTTGTGAGAAATATTATTCTATTTTTCTTACTGATTACTAGGGCTGAGGACTTTTCGGAACAAATCTAGTTTAGGGGCCAAGCGATTTTTTCAATTTTTTTTATCGAAACTTATGTATCTCATCGAGTTAAGAACGATGGTGCAATCAGAATTTGTCGCTCTCATTTAGTTCCGAAGTTATGGCCTTCCAAAGTTTTCGATTTTACGTTTATACGCATGCGCGCAACACTACTATAATGACGCGCGGAGGACCATTTTTGTATTTTAACCTTTCAGCAGGCGCGTATAGACTTACCTAACTTTTATCTACGTATCCCGATTAATACATGGGTTTTTCTACGTATATGTTATAAACACTTAATAATTTTTATCTAATCTTACGTTTTTTTCAAATTATAATTGATGTATATTATCTGCAAGCGTGGCCACTCGCTCGCTGCGCTGCGCTCGGACAAATTTCCGGAAACTTACCGTTCAAAAGTTATGGCAATTCAAAGTCATTACGCGTAACACCACCTTAAGTAGGTTACAGGAAAAGTTATGTCGTAGTATATGGGCAGTCATTACGCGTGTATCGGCACTCGTCGCTACGCTCCTCGGCGCCGTCGCTCCGCTCCGCAAATCGAAAATATCCCCCGACTTGCTATGCAACACCACCTCAAGTATGTCACAGAGTATAATATAATACATAACTACATAAGTTTCAAAAAAAAAAGGTATACCGAATACGTTTGTACCAAAAAATAACAAAAATGGTTCCCCGCGCGTCATTATAGTAGTGTTGCGCGCATGCGTATAAACGTAAAATCGAAAACTTTGGAAGGCCATAACTTCGGAACTAAATGAGAGCGACAAATTCTGTTTGCACCATCGTTCTTAACTCGATGAGATACATAAGTTTCGATAAAAAAAATTGAAAAAATCGCTTGGCCCCTAAACTAGATTTATGCCGACTTTTCTAGTACTTATAAACCTGGAAATATGTATGCACTAATTAAACATCAAACATAAATACTTCATACAACGTATATCATTAGATCTTAGTTACTATCAGAAATTGTCTTTCAATAATATTGTTATCCTACTGATTGCCTGTTATATTTTAATATTTGTAAATAACTCTAAAATGTCCAACTACAAATAATGGCCAAAAAACCAGGGTTTTTGATTAAAAAAAAAAAAAAAAAAAACATACTGTAACATAAAAATATAATAACACACTTTTTAAGGACATTTTAAGTTTAAATTTGGACGAAATTAGATATTTATTTAAATGAAAAATAACTTAAATAGTTACTATTTTAGTTATTTTATTGTAATTTAAAAATATTCTTCACTGAACATTTTTAAAGTATATTATTATATTTTGGACACAATGGCATTTGCAAATTCAATATTTTCATAAAAATTAATTTAACCTACTGCCTAATAGTATAATATACTTTAATCACAATATAGAGTATAGAGTATAGACTTTGCTCAGAATCGTTTTTCGTTCACAATGATTTTATATCATTGAATTCTTATTTAACACATCCATTACAGTGGCTCTTTTAGAGAACTAATTTACAGCAGAATGTTACTCACTTTTTTTATTATCTTATTGTATGTGTTATCCAATTTTGGAGTAAAAGCATAAAATCCAGATCTTAGAGGATGAAATTATATTTTGTTACAGATTGTCATATAGTCTTTCTGTGATATTTAAATTATATTTAGTGTTTACTCCTCTTAAGCAATATTGCTTATTACCTTATATAAGTATTATGTACTGATAATACTTTAAATAATAAATATTGAATCTGCGATTGTTAGAAATAAGTAACAATAATTAATTATGTTGTGTTAAACTAACTACCTAACTACTAAATTGATTTTTTTTTGTTCTAAATACTTATATATTTATTAAATTACTTATCACTAAAAAGTGCTCCAATGATCCATTATTTATATCAAGGCAATTACATGAATGGCTTTGTATTTATATATTTCAATTCAAATACTAAAACTGAATATTAATATCAAATTTTATTATGAGGAAAAAAAGTTATTATTTATGGTAGGCGGAAAAAAAGCCCAGAAATATAAATTTAAATGTGATTACATATTGTATACTTTACTCCTAATTAGTAATCACCATGTAACTATGACAAAATATAATAACATTGATTAAATATACATAGATAGCCCAAGTAACAGTAAAATTCGTTAACGCTTGATAAAGTGAAATGGGAGCCAGAAATCTAGTAGTGTGGGAGCCATGCCAATAGGTTGCGCTGATCATAATTTATTCTGCCATGAAAATGTTGTTTTACCAAGCTAATTTAAAAAAAACGATATACAGGACGTATGAATGGCTATCAGTTATTAATGTTATCATTAATAATATTTAAAAATTTAAATCATTGTTATTGTTGTCACGACTCACGAATAGCATTATTAGCAATATAAATATTTGAATTTATTCAATTGCTATTTTCAATATATAATTCTTTTAAAATGTCACGTCCTTGTGGATTAAAATGTGCTTATGTCAACTGTGGTAAAAGTGCGCGATCTGAGTTAGGTCTAAAACTCTTTCGTTTCCCCAAAGATGTAAATACATCAAGACAGTGGATATCGAACTGCGGTAAGAATTTTATTTTTCATGCTAGGTACTTTAACTATTGATTAAATATACAATTTTAATTAATGCTTAAACATGTTAAGTTCATAAATTCTAGACATTTTTTTTTACTTAAACTTTACATTTTGTTTTTAGGAAATATAAATTTATTACATCTGGATGTAGCAGATTTGTACAAAATGAGAATTTGTCATCATCATTTTGTGCAAAATAAATAATTTGTGAATATTCAGTTTAATTAATTTTGTCAAAATTTGAACTTTAAACGATTATAAAAAAAAACATGCCTATGTATTTTTAATATTTTTCAACTGTTATTATATTCACTTATGAGGAACCTTGTATAACATTTTCAAACTTTTTGACCCAACGAATAAAATTTTATTGACATTTATAGAATAAAATAACTAAACAAATTGAAAATTGAAAATGTGCATAAATAACTTAAAAAGAATCATATTATTTTCAAAATTTTATCGTGTATAGGAAATGCAAACATAAACAACCAGTGAAAATTTTATGCATCTACGATCATTTGTTTTAGAGTCACACCAAAAACCAAAATCGATTTTGTTAAAATTTTCAGTATATTTAATCAATGATAATAATATATTATATTGAAAATAATAATTAATTGTTAATTGTTAATTGTATAAAATATAGATTGTAAATAAAATAAAAATATAAATGTGAACACAATATTATGTATATGTCATGATATATTGTGTTATAAGTTATAAATGAAAAACACAAGTCTTACGTATATACATACTCAAATATTGTCTGTTATCTAAATATAACTTATAACTTAGAAATTATAACACAATATATCATGATGTATACATAATATTGTGTTAATATTTATATTTCTGGGCATTTTTTCCACTATTCATTATTTATAGATAGTAATAAATTTGAAAATTGTTTGCAAACTTGCATAGTAAGATTGAACAATTATATTTATTTGTTTGTTTAAAATGTTAATATAGAGTAGAGTTGTTATACTCAGAAACATGGTTGGAGTTGAAGATATAGATGACAGTTTACAAGAAGAAATTCAAGATGAATGTAGCAAGTAAATATTTTTTTTTTTAAGTTTACAACAGGTTTATGTTTTAATAATATTCTATTATTTTGAAGTTTTAATAATTAAGAATGTGGTATACTACGTAAGTTATATTGTTAATGGTTTCCAGTTGCATTTTATGCTTAAGAGATGGCAATCTAAGGAGAAAGGCATCAAGTTGAACCCTTGACAATATGTGTTGGCCCTATTCTGTTCAGCCACTCAAATTCCCCACTAATTATTAATAATTAATTTTTTTTTTTTATATAGATTTGGTGTAGTTGAACGTGTTATTATTTATAAAGAAAAACAATCAGATAGTGTAGATGACGATTCAGATACAATTGTAAAAATATTTGTAGAGTTTACACAGATGTCAGGTAATTTATAAGAATGGTATATTTCTACTTTACGGGTCAGCTTTTTTTTGCAAGTTTTCCATGAGAATAAATTATGTTTGATAAGTGGCAGTAATATTAATTGATGATTATTATTTTTCAGAGGCCGAACAAGCTCGTGACTCCCTAAATGGTCGATTCTTTGATGGACGTTTAGTTAAAGCTGAACTTTATGATCAAGCATTATTTGACCATAGTGACTTTTCTGGTTGAATCAGTTTCAATGTCCATTATTATAATTATATGTATATTATTTTACTTCACTATTTAGTTATTTTAATATTAATTCAAATATATTATATAAATAATTATTTTATTATGTATCTATAATATTTTGTAAATAAAAGATTTTTTGCAATTTTTATTTATTTATTAACGATTACTACTACAATAATGATATATATTATAAATTTTATAGAATTACTTAACGGAATGGTGAAACTCTTATATATGATATGTACACTTTATTTATTAAAACTTAAATATTGACTATATAATTCACATATTCACATACATAATTGCACAAATTATGAACACCTGATATATTGTATAACATTTTCATATCTGATTAATATCAATATCAGTTATCAAAAGTTTTTGAAAGTTAATAAATTCACTTAAATGCAGAGGAGCTCAGTTTTTATAGTTGACTAAATAGCTTATTGAAATTATTTTTGTTTGATTATAAATGATAAGTAACAAAGTAAAGTGATGTACATGAAAGCACTTTCCTAAGATCTACTCGCACAATAAATAAAAATTACTCAATGAAATAAAATATTATTGATGTGCAATTTGGTTCTAAGTTAAATAAAAACTGTAAGTTCTACAATTATTAGAAATTACATAATAAATAAATAACATTATTTGTACCCAAGAACAACTATTATTTTCTATCAGACATTATTATGACTACTTTAATTCAAAAAGTATTATCAAAACATAAGTAATACACAACAAATTGTTATTTTTGCAATATATTTTACAAAAGAGTTGTTGACTAAAATTTATTTTATTTTACTTTTTAAATTTCCAGGTTGTATTTCAAATTGTTCAGACATATCACGAAATCCTTTACTATTTTGTTGACATTCTGTTTCATTAGTAGAGCCTGGAAGTCTAAATTTCTGTGCGATATTCTCAGCATTAATTTTCTTCATATTTGCTATAGCTTCGTTATGAGCAATTTCCTCTTGAGTTGGTGGTTCATCACGTCTTCCTCTTAACCACTGTGACCATTCAGGTGTTGGAACACCTGTTTCTTCATCTACTGGAACAAACCATCTTCTTGGCAATCTACGGCCACCTTGAGGATCAGCTTCTAACTCAAAGTATTTATTACCTTGTGCATCAATACCAATTGGTTTTTCTTTCAGTTTAGGTTGAAGAGATTTTAAAAAATTATCAAATACTATTTTCCACAAACGACGTTCAGAGGGCATATTCAATTTGTCAACAATGTAAATTTGTTGAATTAGTGAATAAATTATATAAACAGCAATTCTTAGACTCTAAAGGCTAGAACAGCATTCACCTGCAAAACGAATAGTATAAATGAAGCATAAAATTATGGTTGATAATCTTATCACAATTCACAAAGCACAATATTTTGAAATTACCATAGGGCATAGACTACGGACTAAGATATATGGTATATCCACTTTGGTCAGTGTCATTGTTCAGTGGTGTCATCACGATTTAAGATGTCTTAAATCAGGTGTCATAGACATAGCCGAATAAACACATTATAAATTATATATAGTTATGTCTATGGATATTATTTTTTTATAATATTATATTAAATTAAATAAAACTCACTGTTATTTAATCAGATACAAAATATCACATTACATTTTGATTAGTAATTTATTAGCACAGAATAATTTATTTTGTGTTATTAGTGCCAAGTTTTTCTAGTAGGTAGTTATAGAGATGAGTGTTCACATTGTTCACAAACTAACTGGGGTCCATAGATAAAGAAGTGCTGGCCGCTGGGGTCTAGGGGACTATTTGATATTTCCGCAGAATATTATTCTGTGCTATTTCTCGGACGACTAGTGATAACAATACTTGCATGCACGGTTGCGTTTTATCATAGAACAATATGGTTTTATTATATTCCAGGCGCCCGCCGTTTGTATTACCGTCAACCACAAGATGGCGCCATGAAATTCCCCTATGACTATAATATCACAGAACCACGGTTATCTAGATAACCGTGCATAGAACAATATATAATATCCAATTTAAAATTTAAATTGTTCTATAGCATAGACTATGGACTATAGTAATATATTACTCTATAATATGATGTCTAAGAATCTGCATGATATGAAATCACAATAATATTGTCCATTATAATATTGTTTATATCATGATATTGTCGTTCTCCTAATCTCCTGATCCTGAACAATATTATGAAAAAGTGTCTTACAACACTACGATTTAAGATATCTTAATCGTGCTTACGACATGACATGTGCACTATGTCATCTAATTATTATAGTTCTGTATTCAGATTTCAGTGACAGGCACTGACAGCTCAGAAATTGGTGACAATCAATTTTAACTAACTGCTACTATTCTCTTATAATAAATTATTTCTATTTTTTTTCTTTTCACTAATAAACATACAATAATATAATCGTTAAAATATGATGTTTTATTAATTTATACATGATGAAGAAGTCAATATTTTTGTACAGAATTCAAATATTTTAAATTGTGTATAGGTAGTAACTGTATTATCTAAACTTATCTTTTATTTAGTTACTCTTATTAAAAGAAAAATTGACAAATATAAGTTACATAATATGTGGGTGCCTACAACGAAAACTTTTAATAATGCTCCAATGTTTTTTCAATTCCGCCGAAAAGGTGATTTTTGTATTTTTAGTTTTACCAATATGAAACAATTATACTCAAAAGAAATACATGAAGCTTCATTATCTACAATATATTCGGTGAGTACTTAACTATGAATATCAATATAACTTAAAAGTTATTTTCATAAATATACGTTCTCAATAACTTCATAATTAAAATTAAACGCTCCAAAATGGATAATTTAAACTTTTTTTCAGTCTGAATCATCTTTAAATTTGTATAATAACCATTATTGCTATATTGTATGTACAGATATTTATGGTGATTATTGTTTTATATATATAGCGGACCAATAAAATTGAAGTTGATGTTAAAAACGTTGTTGGATTTTTTGAAAATATTGTAGAGACGTACAACGTAAATTATAATTTTTATCCAGACAAATTGAATATTAAGGCAGATCTGACAATAACTTTATCAGAAGAGTTTCCACCATTTAAATTGGAACTGGAATTGGAATTAAAGGATGAAAATATTGTAAGTATCGATTGTATACCATTGTAGTTCATATTAGAAGTATTGTTTATAGTTCAACTGAACAATGGATATGATAACACTTTACAACACTAGATGAGACAACACCCGAGACAACTAGATCCACGTTGTTACCATAGGTATGGTTGGGATCTCAATGACCCGGGTCCTATTTGTTCATACACCCTATGATATTATGTATTATACATTCTATGTTGGTTATTTTGTCGTATGACAGAAGTGATGGAAGTTAATCTCTAATATGCTAAGGCCTAAGATAGTATGAGATGATCATTGTGTCATGCCTAGTAATACATGTATACACTAGTATAACATGGTAGAAAAATATATCATCAGTTTTATTTTAGCCATGTTTTATACTAAACATTGAATACAAGTCATATTATCCTTAGGTGGTTCATGGCTAGGTTCGTTTATGAATATTGCTATCACAAAAAAACAGTTAGGGTTATAAAATAATTAAATAGATTTCCAGGTTTTTCTTTGATACCTAATTTTTGTTTTAATGTAGCTATGATATTTGTATATGGGGCGTCTGGGCCGGCTCAAGTGAAAATAGTAAACTAGGCAAAATCAAATTTTGCCGCCCCAAACAATATAATATTATCAGGATTTTGAAAATGCCGCCCTCTTACTAAAGTGCTGCTTTAAGTGCCGCCCCACGCAGACTACATTTTTACATTTAACATTACAAAAATTTTAAAAATTTATTTTTTCCCCTAAAATATTTTTCTGTAGTCTATTACATTTCATAAGTAATTTTCATTACCTATTTTTTTAATAAATATTTTTAAAAAATAAATACTTGTTAGTTTCTGAAAACTGTTCTTTAAATTCTTATGCCCTTTTAGGAAATACTAAGTTGTTATTTACTTAGTATTTTTAAAAAAAAATTATGATACTCATGCACCTACCTAATGTTCTTTTTTTTTACGTTTTGTACATAGTTTTATTCCACATTGACTTCCCCGTTATTGAAAATAATAAAACAATTAAAACAAAACCAAGAAGATTTATTTAATATTATCGAAAAAAAGGATTTGGAAATATCTGAATATAAATTAATAGGAGGCAATATTACACATGGTCTGTATATTTTATAACTCAAAGAAGTTAATGTATTCAAATGTTTATATCATAGTTTATTTGATTTTGGATAGAAAATATTAAGACAGATATTTTTGAGAAAGATAATTTCTTTATGAATACACTTCTAAATCATAAAGATTTATGTAATGAAAGCCTACATTTATATGAAATATATTCATCACCTTTAATTGAACAGCACGATACCAGGTAAAAATAAGTGGTTTTTTTTTAAACATTTATAAGACCAACATTATACTTTTAAAGATATTCTGATGAACACAAAGCATCGAAGAGCATATGCATTAAGGAGGAAAATCAAGAAATTCAAACAATTAATTCAAATAATAGTATTGACCATAAAGCCTCAAAAAGTTCAACTACAGTAGAAATTACACAAAAATCAATTAATGTTAAAAAGCGGAAAAAAACCCCTTTCCTAAAAAATCTTTAAAATTATTATTTAATATGTAAAAATGATGTACAAAATATTTTAATATTTTTTTAATCAAATCATTTATTTGCAACAAAATAGAATATTTAATAATTGGTTATTCCGACCAATTATTATTACACATTTTATAAATTTGACATGTACGAAATGCATATTATCTTTAACTAGAAAATATATATTTTTAAGAACCAGTCTCAATGTATTTATTTTGAAGTATCAAATGTTTAATAATTTAATTACAATTTAACCTATACTCAATTTTTTTTAACAATTATTGTGAACTAGTTGGTACCAAAATGTTCTGTAAACATTTCTAAACCATTGATTATTTTTTAAAATATAAAGTATAAAATATATTATATAGTTTTTAATCTTTAAAATAGTTGTATTAGATTGTTGTTTATGGTTATCTAAAACATTCAAATATTATATTAAGTATAAAAAAATGGTAACTAGTTTTTTGTTTAGCTCAATAGTTATATTTTGATAGTTTGAAATAAATAAATTTGTGTATAGAGAAATAGAGGGACATGACTTGGGAATAATTTGAAAACATAATTGAAAAGTCTGAAAATAATCAATGGTTTATTGCTACTGAATTTAATGTTAAATAATTACACCTAAATTATTTAACAACAAATTCAAATATATATTTAATATATTATATTTTTATTAAAATAACATTTGACACCAACATAATTCATATTTTTTTCATATAGCAAACCTAAACAACTCAATTACAAACAAAATATACATATATGCATACATACACATACATGATTATTATAAAATAAAATCTAAATTGATGAATATGCTCAAAAGATTAATAATAAGCAAATTAAATATGTAAGACTGTAACTATTACATACATATTTCAGTTTTTAAAATAGTTATAATTTAAATTAATTTTTATTGAAAATATATCTTAAATAAAAATAATATATAGTTGCACATCGTACATATTAACAAAAAAATTTTGTTACATTATTAGTACTATTATTACATTGTGTAAATTTCAAGTTTTTGAATCAATATATAATTAAAAAACAATATGTACAAAAATTTCATTTGAAACAAAATAATATACCAAAATAAATTTAAATAAAAAATAAATTGATGTGTGTTTGGTATGTATAATTTAATAATTCATAAAAACGAACTAATAAGGAACTAACTTAATTAATCATATGATTAACATAAATATCGAAGTAAATATGTTGGATAATTTAAAGCAACATTTTATAAATAAAGAAAGAGATAAATTGGAACCTACTTCAACAAATAAATGTAAATATTAAATTCAACATTAGTAACATCCAAATGTTGAACATTTTCAATAATTAAAAATTCTTATTCAAAGGCTTACTTAAATCACAGACAGAAATCCAGTTCAACGACTGCCACCAAAATCAATATTATGGTTCACAAAATCTTTACATAATTGAATTATTTGTAGTTCATTTAATATCTACTTTATTATTTAAACCTAAAATAAATATTAAACAAAAAAATAAAATTGTGATTTAATGTACGACTAGTTTTTGTTCTGATGGATTGAGTCATTCCATTTTTGTCATGACGTATTTAAGCAATCCCATTTTGCGTTGTTATATAACCAATATGTAATTTTAAAAAAAATGATATAAAATTTTGCTATTCAACTTTTAATCGTTTACTGAATTCTTCCTGTTGTCGTTCTTTCCATTCTGTTTTCGGTTTGTTACGTTTAAGTTGACCATCCCTGAAAATATTTTATTTAGATAATTACAATAATTTATTTTAAACGTAGAAAATATATAATCTATATAATATGATCTTTGATTTTAAAACACTAAATTATAATAATTGCATATAATAATTTGCAAAAATCTTTTTAAAGTTACATCTCAAACAAAAATAACATAATGATTATAAGTGCACTGATTTTTAAAAGTGTAAGGTTAATTAAGAAATATTTTTAGTAGGATATAGAACTTAAAATATCTCTAGAGTCTAGATAATCAAAAATTAATTTTCAAATGACAGTACAACTATTATTTCAACTTTAGTGTCTGGATTTGATTTAGAATAATGTTTAGTATTTTTTTTATAACATTTTGTATTAAATACCTTATATTTTTGATTGATTTATTAATTTGTAACAATTTTTAATATTTATTAAAATGTTAATATGAAACTAACTCACCTAATAAATTTTAGATAATAAATAAAATATCAAACTTGAATTTATAACAATTTATAGCAAACTACAATTCCATATTAATATTTTCATGTCTTAAATATAATTAAAGATCTACTATAATATTATATCTATACTCTGTTTACAATGAGACCGTGACCCGGCGGCGGTCAGACATATGGTGAAACGCCGTCCCCACTACGCCGACGCGTCAGGCTAAGCTTATTGTGAACAGAGTATAAATAAGTATGATTTTAGATTAGAAATAAAAATTAGTTAAACCATATTATGTATGGCTTAACTAATTTAAAAATATGATTATTGATTTTTATTAGGTACACAAATTAGAATCAGAAACATAGGCGGAAATTCAATAAAATTTCAGGAGGGGGGCTAACACAACATTAATGTGAGTTGTGAGGGGTTTGTCCTCACACAACTATAGATATGAGTTATTGTAGGAACTAATAAAATATTTGGGAAAGGGTCCCATTTCCACTAATTATTAGAGCCATAATATCCAAGGCTAGCTAAATACCCATTATTTTTAACATAATATTACCAAAATTGCTTAGATTCTTGAGTTCTAATTTTAATGATAAGCTACTATTACTAGAGTAACAAATTCATATAATATGTAATAATTGATTCTTGATAGATATTATAGAATTGTCTTACCATACTAGGTCAACAAGGCCACCTTGATCAGCAATTACTCGTTTTACTCGATTTGCAAAATCGGCACCGGATTCATTTTCATTTTGGTACATTGGAGGCAAGTACCACACATCACAAACAATTGCCCAGGATGTCATCATTAAATAAAGATGTTGAATCATTGAATATTTACTACTATTCCAAAATGCATCTCCAAACCGTGGATCATACTAAAGCCACACAAGTACAACATTTTGTAAATTATTGCTAACATTTTAAAAGTGATAAATCAATTTAAAAAAATGTAACCAACCTTAATAGCTACAGGGTATATAACACTGCCAACTTCAAAACTTCCTTTTTTGAACTGCATAACAGATGTGTTGTTGATGCACGTTCCTTCAGGAAATACTAATATTGGTGGATTAATTGGATTTGATACATGTTCCCGTAGTCTGTAAAATTTAATCATTTAAAAGTTGAGACAATGACATTTTCAAAATATTTTAACCTTTCTATACGACAAACCTATTCACAAAGTTCTACGGTACGTGGTATTGACTTATAAGTCAATAACAATAATATAGACAATGTTTTTGGAAAAATTAGTTCAACATTTGGTACACTACTAATAGAAAAATAAATTACCAACAATAATATAAATACACCATAAAATACCCATAGGAGAAGAGACTAGAGACTGACATGCAGTCTTTGCTTTGAATCATTTTTCATATTGTACAATGATTTAACATTGAATTCAAGTTTAACATAAATATCTATTACAATGACAAGGTTCGATCAAAATCTACTATACACCGTTCAGTTTAAGATAAAACCACTCGGCAGACCAAAACACTTGTTTTAAATTAATTGTACATGTGTTGTATTTTGTAGAAGGTGCAAGTGAAGATAATCAATCATTTATTGATAGCATAGTCATTATGCTATAGCAATATAAATAACACTCAAAATTAGTAATTAAAGTTCACAATAAAATATATTCACCTCATTGCAACAATTTCTCTATCTTTGGCTTCAGATCGTTCAAACCATAAATGAGGAGAAGCTCTGGCTAATGCTCTTTGAAGGATTCCTAAAAATCCTCCATGTCGCTGGCCAATCTAATATAAATATAATATAAAAATTTATAATTAGAAAGTAATAATAGTTTTATAGTTTTATTATTAGAAGGTAATTATAGTTTATCCAAAATATAAATTTTAAATTTAGTTTGTAGAAATGTAATGTTACATATGTAGTATAGTATAGATAGATAGATTAATATATTTGTAAATCAGGGTTGCCGTTCGTCCCAATTTTGTGTAGACACACTGCTGGTTTTTAGTACACTTATAGTTCCCGTTAGGTATGTGAAAAAATACTTGTTTCTAAAATTAAGTCTTGCGTAATAAGTTTTGTACAGAGTATAAATAAAATAAAATTTAAAAAAATGTAATACAAAATATTATGCTTTTAACAAAATCAATTGAAATAATAGTAAATTAATTTTTGTATATCAATGGAACATGGCTGATAGAGGCCAGTAGGGTACTATAAAAAAACAGGGTGTATAATTTGTTTTACGACAAACAATAGTAATGACTATTGACTATTGAGTAATGACTAAAGAGTAAAGACTGTCAGTCTTGTGACTTTTTTTCATAGAATAAGGGGGAGGATTTTGCAGTGTTACAGATTATAGTTTTGAACAAAATGACAACCCTATTGTAAATAAAATGACTGTTAGACAAAGCAAAATATGTTAAATGTGTATTACTTTAATCATTAAATCTATGGTGTTTTCTAGAGGTGCGTCTTAAAATATAATGTTTTTGGATAAACTACTCTTAAATATTTGCATTATGATAATGATGGTGCACTTATTAAGACGCACCAGAGCATAAGGGTTATCGCATGCCAACACTAGTACGTCAACTGGAGATGTATGATTGGCAACACAAATGCCTCGCTTTGGTAGGTTCTCGCGATTATGATAGGTGATGACTGAAGATAGTGAAGCAGCTAAAACTTGAAAACACATAATAGATGTATTTTGATTCATCCAACGTTTACCCATACTATCAGGCACAAAACCAACAATTAATGTACAAATCCACAGCCACATGACCTATACACACAAAATATTAAAATTATCAAATAAGTGAACAAAAGTCAGGTAATAAAAAGGTAGTCTTATTCCAAAACAAAAAATGTATATACATTTTACATGAGACTAAATAATATAAACAATCTAATTTCCTCATTTAAACTCTTAAGATATATTTTAATATTTTAGTTAAGTATTTCCAAATATTTAAAATACATGTATCAGTCTGAGAATTAAATTATGGTTTGAGTTTGGTAAAACCTACAATGTACAATATGGTACAATAAATATATAAGATCTTAAAATTATTATTTTGAATTTTGATGGTTATGATTTGTGAGTATGCAGTGCTTGAATTTGAAAGAAATAGAAGGGGATGCAAAAATATTTTTTAAAAAGGCGTATCTAAGTATTTAAATTTCTTATTGATTAGGCTATAATTCGAAGAGGTACACTAAAATATATTTTAAAAAAGAAGGGACACTAAGCTTCTAACCAGTTTAAGCACAGAGTGTATAAGTTACCTGAAATCTTATTAAAATTTAAATTATACCAAAGGTACCCTAAATACTGCAAATTATATTAAATAAATGTTTGTAGAATATTAATGTAAATCAAATATTTTTACAACTTGGAAAACTATAGAAATAGAAGTATTTTAAGAAATGTGAACAATTAACCATATTCTTTTATAAATGTGTATTACATGTCATGCACTGAGTGAATTTAGAAGAAATTAATAACTTTTAAGTTAAAGTAGGTGTAGCATACATATGAGGTTCATAAAGGTCTGCCAGTGTGTATAGTATGTCGTAAGCAATATGACAAAAACTAAAAAAGGTATAAGCAAGAATTTAAAAATGTTGCTAAACAAAACGTTCAAATTAAATATTAATTCAGTTGACTCATAATTTTCATAAAAAAATTATGTATACATAAAAATGGAAGTAAAATAAATATATTGCTTACTCCTTACTTTTGTTGGTAAATTAAATTGTGCAGTATAATTTGAAAGTTAAAATTGTATTTATTCATAAATTATGTATCTTCATCAAATAATGCAAACATGCATATATTGACTAATTACCAAAATATAATAACTGTGAGCAAATAGAATAAGAATATCAATTGGCGATGTATGGTTGGCTACACAGATTCCATTACGTCTTGGAATCCATTGCGGATTATGGACATTTATGACCATTGTCATGGCATATTGAAACAATACAAAAATATACTGAGATAAAGAGTTTATCAATGATTTTTGTATTGATTCATCCTTTATGGTCAACCAAATAGTGCATATTGTTAAGCTAAACAACATAACCTGTAGATCGAATTATACATTGCATTTTTAAAGCAAAAAGACGTTTGATAGGTTTCTGTACATTAATTTTTAAAATGTACTCTATATTTTGTGTTACATAATACCATTGTTTAAATAATAATTACAATGCATATTTAATAATTATAATATACACCATTAAAATCGCCAATATTACTTATTAGTAAAGTTTGGAAGTTGACAACTTTCATTTTTATTGAAATGTCTAAACGGATGCTTTCCTACCTGAAAGTGTGTTTCAATAATATATAAATCTAAATAACTAATATTTATTTAATTTATATATTTTAGATTTAAAACGTCGAGGTCTAGTTACATGAAATTAAGAATAATCGGTTGTGATATAATAATAAGTAATAACTTAGATGTATTTTATTATTTAAGTAGATGACCCGTCACAGCTTCGTTCGTGATTACTTGTTTATTTTGCCTTAGGACGATGATATGTATAATTTTTTATTCATATGTTGTCGTTTAATGTGATCGGCAAGTAAATATACAAAACGGTTAATGAAAACGTATTGAAATGTTTCTAGAGGTATTAACGATAAATATATTTTTATTAAAAATAGCTGATTCACTTCGTTTCCCATTAAACGTACCAACTCTATATGACTCAAACTTTTTTCAATTCGTTATTTAATATTCGGTCTATGGTGTTCAAATCTTAGACATTTTCATCTATCATCTTGATTATATAATTACGCGAGAGACACGCCATTTCTCTATTCTGTGGACACGCTTGTATGTTTTGTATGCTTAAGACAAGTAGTATGTTAAATGTTTTCAAGTAGGCAATCTACCTGCGGTGGATTGCAGACCCCTCGAAGTGCGTACGTAATTACAAATGTTTTATTAACAGTTAACACATTGATATTACGATGTGCATAAGTCGAAAAACCTACTTTTCTTACTGGATAGATGGCACCTACATCCAGATTTCCTACTTTTCGGGTGGATTTTCTTGAAATTATCTTACTTCAGAGTCAAGATTTTAAGAACCTTCTCCTGACAATTACGAGTACTACAAAAAAATAATTAGCAAAATCGGTCCAGCCGTTCACACGTGATGCCGTGTACTAAGGAATATATATTTAATTTAAATATATAGATAAATACATATAGTATAACATAGATAGATTGTTGAATTTTACTTTTTGGAACAATTATTCATATCTACTCACCAATAAGACATACACTAAAGAAAAATAGGTCAGATTACAGGTAGCTGGAACCCGCGGGCCAACATGCCGCACAAATGGTATATAATAATATATATAGGTGTACAATTTATAAGTTTATTTTAATTAACAATAACTAATTATTTATTAACTTTATCGGACTAAATGTATGCCTAAAACCTTCTCTGTGATATCCTCTTTAATTTAAAAAAAACTGCACGACAATTGAATAAGTAGTTTCGGAGTTTATCCCAAACAAAAAAAAGCGACTTCATTTTATATTGTAGTATAGATATAAACATTTTAATTATGAAATTAATTTAAAAAAATATTAATTTTGGTATTTTATGCATTTTACACTTTTAAGAGCATTATTAAATGTGTTTTTGGGTCAATTAAAAAATAAGATTTTCATTTTTCTATTTTAGGTCATTATTAATTAATGGTTTTTAGGTCACCAAATTCTGAGCCGGGCTCAGTTGATCTAATAATTTATTAATATTTATACTTTTAAACTTATGCAAGCTTCCTCTACATTAAAAAACAAACCTAATAATTATAATTAATTAAAAAGAATTATTATTTATATAAAATAAAATAATATACAATAGATAGAGTTAATTTTTAAACTAAACCTTGATATTTTAATACATATAGCTTTAGACTAAGCAAACCTAGCAATTCAAAAGTCTAATATAAGTTAACAAATTAATAAAAATAAATAAATGAAAAATAAAAACTTACGCCAAAGAAACAAATCAACACACGTAATGGCAACAAAAATGTATATCTTACAATAAATCCAATAATCCAAATGACTGTTATTTTCCAATTGATAAACTCATAATGTCTATTTGTCCTTGTCAACAAATTCCATGACTAAAAATAATTACATTTAAATCAGTAATTAACACATAGATACATATATTATATATTATTCAGTAGCCAGTAGCAGACTGGGCAGCTGTTCTCATTTGAATATACCATATTGTGCTATGTGCATACAAAAAATAATATAATATGTACAGTTTTTTGTTTTCAAATTACAACTAAATAAGAAAATTGTTTATGTAAGGGGTGAATCCAATATCGTATGAATTTGAACTTCAAACGATCATAAAAATTTAATTTGACTTTCTAGGAAGTTTTTAATTAAATATAATATAATATTTTAGAGGATTTTGTGTAGAAAAATTAATTGTTAAATTAAGAGTGATAGGTGACAGTAACTAAGTTAGGGTCGCTTGAACATGTGATTTTTTTGGGCAGATTTTTTCCCCCCAATCCGCTAATATTATTACTAATTTGAAATTGTTTATTTTATTGAACTGTAATCAATATAGTTATAATATAAATAATTTGTTTTAGAAACCATAATTTATATTAAGTAAATTAAATAAATGTTCTTACATAAATAACCAAGGCTGGGCAAGTTAATGATTTTTTTTAACTCAGTTAAGTTAAGTTGATATGCATCAACAACAAAAAGTTAAAAGTTAATTTAACTATAGATTAACTAAGTTAAGTTAAAAGTTAATATACACTTTTTGTTAACTTTTTATTAAGTTAAAAAAAAGTAAATTTGTTTATACAAGGCTAGCGCACTTAATTTTTTTTCAACCCAAAACTAAATTATGGACCTTATAGTGTTTATACTTTATGCAGTATTTCCGTATAATTTAGATTCCAATGATATACATTTTTAACTTTAAAAAATTCTAGGTAAATATTTTTTGACATGAAAATTGAAAACAAAATGGACTGAAATAGTGAAATATAGTAAAATTAAAAACAAAATAAATTAACTTAACTTACTTCTCAAAATGAAAAATTAACTTGTTAATTTCATGTTAATTAAAAAAGAAATTTAGTAAGTTAACAGTGAAGTTAAAAAGTTAAAATAAAATTAACTTTTTAACTCGTTAATACCCAGCCTTGCAAATAACATATTTTACAAACCTACTGTTACAAGGTATACAATAGAATAATAGATTAATTATTTAAACTAGTTAAACTATTGTATTATAATATTATTTATTATAACACGTGTCATTAGATATTTTTACCTTAAGTTCTTCTGCTTCAAATCGTGAAGTAACTTGATCCTCTATAATTGCTTCAACACCAGTTTTCACATAATCAAGCACATCAGCAAGTTCAAATTCTCGTTTTAAAGTATTAAATGAACGAGTTCTTTGTAATATTTGTTTACCCTAAATATGGATATTTATAAATTAAATTTAAATTCAATTGAATATCATTAAATATATAAAATTATTATAATATATTTTCTATTTAAAAATATGACTATTATTTTATAAACTTACTCCTTCAGTTTTAACATTATTGTTGCCACTGTAATTTTGATCTGGATCTGGAACTAGTATTAAATCTTGTCTGCTTATTAAAGGTGGAGCTCCATTCTGTATTTTCTTATCAACATTTCCATTAGATAGACTATGAGTCGAGTTACTTCGAGAGATAGATCCATTTGAGCTTATTGGCTCTAAATGTGTTGAAGATTCATTTAATGTATCCGTGTCAATTTCAGTCACCAAATCCAGTTCATCATCATCATCATCATCAGTTTCTTCACTATCAGTTTCTTCAACTCTTTTTGTTTGTTTTTTCGACTGTTTTTCTAGATTTTCTCGTCCATACTAAAATTAAAATAACATGTTGATAAATATAAATTATAAAAGATATAATATATATAACTACATAAAAGTTGATTTTTTTAGAATACCTATTATTATATAACAAATTTCAAAGATCTTTAGGCTGACAAAAGTCTCAAAAACTGAAAAACCGAGGTACTGCCTGTATTTAGACTTTGCATTGAAATATAACACATTAATTGTATTATTTTTCTTAATGCGAATACAATTGATAGGTACTAAAAATGGTATTTAAATGACTAGTATAAGTAACTTAATAAATTAAAATGTCAACATTTTAAATAAGTATACTAATAAATGAATCTAAGTGAAAGGCCTGAAATGTTGTATGCTTACATATATACTATAGATGGGGCCACACCATATTAAATCAATACAAAAAATGTTGCCAATATCAGCATTAAGTCAACGAATTAGGTATTAAAAGTCGCATACTCGACGCAACTTCTTGCATATTTATTATTTATCCATGGATAATTTGTTATCAAATCACTATATTATGTTTTATATATAATATTATATTGAAAAAATAGTATAATGCCTATATAATATAATATAATTAACCACAAACTAAGATTTAGAATAATTCTGTGATAGTAACCTATGGATAATTATGCGAGGAGTTGCATGAAGCATGCTAGGCTATTTTCGGTATACCGATAATTACCGGGGTACAATATTTTTGGATACAAACCGTACAACTGGTAATACAGTAGATACAGGTAGTAAACAAATAGATACCGGTATCAACATTTTAAATACCACCTAAGCGCATGCACACATCAATCACCTAATTCAGAGACTCGTCACTAATATCGTAAACAAAATAATACATTGGGGCTACATCCATGGTATATGATCTAAGGTTTTATGTTACATTGCCTTACACTAATAGTATAGAATATAATTTGAAGATAGTATAAAATGTGTGAAAAGATAATTTTAATTCAAATTGCAATACCTACAAAATTCAAAGAATTTCAGACCTCTAAGTGTATTAATGATATATTATAAGTAACCTACCTATAAAATATATATTATTATTAGTTAATATTATTAACCTATAACCTAAAATATGATATAAATTTTTTTTACAAAATGTATAATTATTTTATTCCAATTAATAGGTATAATATAAAAATGTATATGTATACATATTTACATATACATTTAATTTTATATATTATTATAAGGTTATTTGTTATCAGGACAAACTGGCAAGGTCATTAAAAATCATATTAAAAGTTAAAACAAGTTTAATATTTATGAAATTTTCTTCTTATTTAAAAACTAAAAATAGACATTATTTATTGTACATTTAACGGTCATTTTTGAAAATATATTTATTCATATCAACTATCAAATATAAAAGTGTAGAAAAAACAGTCTTTAACTAAGCAGTTTAATTAAATTGCCTGAAAGCCAGTTATTTTAATTTCCTACATATTTCATTGCATAAAACAATAAAATGCAACAGAGAAATTCAATAAATTGATTAGTTAAAAATCCTTTTTAATAAGTAATATAACCAAATCATATTAACTAATATTAATCTAAATGAGGTTCAAAACTAGTTAAGTGCAATGATTATATTCATTTTGCTGAATTTTTTAGTTTTACTAAGGGCTTTTTATTATTCTATTTAAGTATGCATGTTGTGGAAGTAATACAGATAAGGTATATAATTCTGAATATAAAATAGAACAAGAACATAATATTATACACAGCATGTTCTTCAATATATATTTCATTACTTTAATGATTTATATTTACATAACCAGGGTATTTGTACCCACATATTATTCGTATAAATAAACTAAATAATTTCCTTAATTATTGAACATAATATTTAGTATCTACCTACTAATTAGTGTTACAAAAATTAAAACCAAAAAAAAAAAAAAAATAATACCTTTTTTTTTTATTGAACAAAAGTTTATATTTACAATCTGTATTTACAAGTTATACAATAAGTAAATTTGATGTGGTTTGATTGGTAGGAGGGGGAAGTCACCCAATGGGAACACCCGTAACTAATACCTATGATGGAAAAGATGGAACATAATACCTATCTTAATATTTTATTTTATTTTCTAGTAACACTTAAATAATAACAAAATTAACTTCTATAACTATATCTACTTTCTATTGTTAAATTAAAATTTACCAGAAAATAATAAAATACTATAGTTAGTTAGGACGTATAAATAAATAATAATAGGTACATAAAGACAGACAATTTATATTATATGAGTAGGTATAAATAAAAGTAAAATTAAAAAAACAAGTTTGTGCTTTCTGGGTTTTAAATGATAATTATTATAATGTATGAATATTAAAAAACATTGAGTAACATATTTTTTAGTTATGCAAGATGAAAAGTAATATAGTGAATAGAGATGGACCAACATATATATAACTGATAACTTATGAAAATACCTATTTGTTTATCAAACACAGAATATAATATATTATCATTAATCATTAAAGAACATTACCCTTTCACGACCTTTGAAAATTGTTTAGTTAATAATAAACTAAGTATTATGTATATATGTATCATGACACGTTGTACTTTAAACTTTTATAATGTTATTACCAAAATAAAATATGTATTTATTTTTAATATGAAATGAAAAATGAATTATTTTAAATTTGATAGTATCAAATGATTTAAATTTTAACAAACAATATTCACTACTTTTATGACATATAAATATTAAATATAATATTTAAGATTTAAGATTTTTTTTTCTTTTTAAAATCAATTTAAACCTCATTTAATTTAGAAAATGTTTGTACTTAGTTTTATACAACTATTTTTACTACCACATTTGTACTCCGTGTACTTAGTGTAGGTATAAAATATAAAAGCAGACTTGGAGAAACTTCGAACAATTCTTAAATTTTAGAAATTTTAATTGGTATAAAAAAAATAAAATAATAATTCTATACTACCTAGTACCCTATATATATTTTTTAATTTCTTAGATTTTATTTTAATCACTCACTAATGAAATTGAGCAAATTTTTAACTTAAGGTAACAGGTGAAAAATGTAAAAAATTGACTACTTCTATCTGATTGATAGGATGATAGTCGTGTGTGTCACCTAATATTGGGAAAATATACCAAACTACTGAAAACCCGTACTGAAAAATGCTTAGGGTATGAGGGTGCAGTAGAATGATGCTATTGCACAGCCTAAATGATTGCAGGTGTGATCAAAATTATGCCTACCTATGTACCTATATTAGCAATTAGCATATTTCATTAAAATAAAATTATATTTTACTGTGAAAATAAAATATAGGTTTAATCATTTCAATTAAGTTTATTGATACATGCAAATTTATTTAAGTTAATTTTTAGATATTATATATAAGTATTAAGTAGCTATAGTACTTAATTAGTTTTAGGTGCGTCTCTTATATACCTACCTACTTACATATTGTATCACTGTATCAGTTTAAAACATATATTATATCTGATGTCTCATAAATTCAGAATTCTTCAAATTTGAATATAAATATTTAAGTATAACTTTTTCCTCTAATTTTCTGTTAACCCTACTACCGCAGATCTCAATTCTGTTATCTCGACTACCTCGCCGATGCCGATTTAGATAAAATCGATAATAAATCATACACATGGATACAAATATAAAAATTTAAAATACCTCCTTGATACAATTCATTTTTTATCGTACATCGACCTTTTTTATCATAATTACTTTTTATGAGCTTTTGAATATAAAATTTTTATGATTTTGTGTATTTAGTAGTAATTTATCGAATTCAACAAGACCTTAAAGCACTAAGCAGTCACCCACCTACCACCTACAAAAGTTATGGGGTATTTACCCCAGTAGCCATACGTGTTCGGCGCCACTGAGTGCCTAGTCTCCGCACAGAATCATATTTCGTATTCAATGATTTATCATTGAATTCAAATATAACACATGCGCATTACAATGACATACTCGACAACTACTGTACAGCAGAGCAGTGCCCACTTATCCACCTTTTTAATTTATATATATATATTTAATATCTTGAGAATTTTATGAGAATTTTTAATTTGACATTTTGTGATAGGTACCTAATTTTGATGATTTAATGTTTTATATTATAAGTCTCCACTACTGTGATAATTTATGTGATATATGATAATAAACGTTATACTAATATACATTATTATATAAATGACAATTCATGTGTATTATGTATTAAAATACGGAACTATCGGGGTAGTACTATAGCAGTTGAGATAACAGAATTGAGTGGTCGTGGAAGTAGGGATAATAGAAAAGTACCTAGGTAGATACCTACTTAATATTTATAATTTTTAAAGTACAATTTCACCAACATTATACGTAACACATAATATTATATTCCTTCATATATTTGTTAATATACTTTTACAAACCTATTTTATGAATTGAATTACAAATTTACCAATATAATGGCACTATTATCAAGCAGTTAAAAAAAAAAATGTATTTTCTAATAATGAAAATTGAGAATTAAACTACAAAAACTACGTATCCATTTGAATATCTCAAAAAATATCATTCTATTTGATCATTGATAGAGATGCAATCAATAAAATAGAGGAATAACCAACACATTTTAATTGCATCACTAAATCCCCTAGTTTATATATTGAATTTTTTTTTCAATTACCAAATAATATTTCAATGACCATAGAGTAACATGCAAGTAAAATTGAAAATGTTCATTTGAAATACAATGAAATACAATTTAGGTACATAGGTACTAATATTCAGTTTTTACTAGAATATTAATATGATATAGGGACAATTATATAGGAGTCAATAATTACTTAATTCATAATTTGATGGTAATTTATCAAAAAGTATAAAGATAGATATCAACAATAATAAACTGTGAACAACATATTTAATATCTCAAGTAGTACTCACCTCAAATACTTTAACTAAGAAATCCACATAGATCTGTTGTAATCCTAGCGTCTTGCCGACATACGCCAACAGAACAATACTGAGAAAGAAAAGGAGAAACGGGATGAATATCACGGATAAAACTGTGAAGGACAGTGTGTCCATGACGGATACAGAGGACATGACGATGGTTTACCGAGAAGAAAATTGTTACCTCAACAATTCCATATCGATACTTTGAACATCAACTTGTGTGTGGATGTTGGCTGAACGCTAAGACGCCGTGTGACCACGGATCGGAGTATAAACAATTATCATCGAACAATCTAGTTTGAGTGGTTTGTTAAAATGTACACCCTATACGAACTAAACTACTTTAGCGAAAAAGTCAAATGGCACGTCGTCGATAACGCCCCAAATCCACGAGAAACAGTCGTGATCGTACCTACGCTCTTTAACAGTTCGAGAGGAAATAGGTGTGCATCAGTTATTTCATTTATGTATTACCATAGGTAGGAAGAAATAAAATCAAGAACGTTATTGAAAAAAAAAATGTTGTCTGAGGACTGAGACGAATAGACGTTGTATTATTATCTATTTTATTAAATTAATATAATATTGTATTATTATGTGATACTGTGATAGGCAACTACGGGGAACGAGTGGAACGGTCGAACGGAACGAGTAACGACCACTGATGACTACGATGGCGCAACCTATCAATGGCAACGATACGCGGCGTGTGGCTGTGCGGGGCTACAGAGTATTAGAGTACAGAGTACGGCTGTTGTAAGTTGTAACCATAGATAAAAGAATTAAGAAACTAATAAACTATAATAATATAATTACAATACAGCTACGTACAGTTGAAACTACAGATATTATTATTATATATTATTATTTATTGGAGCAACGCAGGCGTCTTCAACCGTAAATTAGTGTGCTGATTCAGTTGTAAACTTGTAACTTGTAAGCTTTACTGATGGTACCGTATTGTATAGTGTACTACCGTGTGTGCAAGCATGGCGAAACGATAATCAGCGCCTCATCGGTGTCGGTGGGCACGGCCAAACATTTAGGTATGTGGTATGTCGACGATGAGTGACGACGACAAACGGTATACGCCAATTCGAGGCGATGACGTCACGTTCCGAATTCCGCGGTGCCCTCCCACTCCTCTACAGATGCGCGGCAAAAATGATAAACTATTACAAGTTACAACTATAGTCTATTTACCTACTCTTTAGACTATAGTCTATACTCTATAAGCTATAGCTAATCTAACATTACACTATTGAGTAGCTATTAACTATAATACAAACCTCTTTTCTATGTTGTGTTCCGCTGACTCGGGTGTCAACATTAGTAAAAGTTTTTACCCGCGGTATCGGGTAGGTATGTAACCACTAACCAATGCATAAGTGCATTAGATGTATAATATATTAATATATAAATAATTATGTATATTATAACTATTTATAAATATATAGGTGTCTTCTTTACAGAATAATAATAATACCTAAAAGTTATCAGGCACGGACCCAGTGCACAATTCTGAGGAGGAGGGGTGGGGATTGTCAATACGGTAGCTAAGTATTTAATATTCATAGTATTTATGTGGTAGGTATTTATAATAAATGGTAGGTAGTATCAAGTAGGTAGTAGGCAATCTGTCTTAGGTGAGGGGCTGGGCATCTAGACTCCCCTCCTGGATTTGCCTCTGACAATCATGGCAATACAATTTTTGTAAGGAGCATAAACATAAAATATTTTTGTTGAAAGCCATTATAATATCAACATTCAACATAATAAAATTACTGGACGTAAGAACGATCTATACGGCCGAATACGGGGGCAGATATTATATTTGTGTCACCCGCCCCCGTTAATACGCCAGTTGCCAGTACCTATATCCGTAAACGGAAAAAAAGTCGCCGGTAACAAAGTCACACGGAAAAAAAGTCTCCCGTTGCAGTATAAATAAAACGATATTTTCACTTTACTTGTTATTTTATTTATAAAATAAATTGGGTTGACAAATCTTATAAAAAAACGAAAGCTGGTCAAAAAATTGAAGTTCGATTAAACATTTTATGTCAACGTTTTGATGAAGACAAATCTGCAGATAGGTATTCCTAATTTTTAGAGAAAATAGGTGAACATATAAGAAAGATCTTTTATTTCTGAATAAAATAATAAATAAATTTTTATATATATTTTTAAATACTATTATTTTAAGATATATTTTTAATTAATTTACGATGGGTAAACAAAATATAAACATTTTAATATTTTTCAAGTACTATTATTAAAAGAAATATATTATTTTTTTTTAAATTAATTTACGAGGGGACATTTTTTCAGAGACTTTTTTCCTAATATACACCGGTGCCCAGTGACTCAAGCCGTTATTTACTTTAATACTTTATTGAAATAAATAGTATACCTAGTTAGCTGCTGATGCTTGATATTTTAATAAAAATAAATAAATAATTATAAAAAAGTAAAAACCATCAATTATAAATATTTAGCGAGATTAGTGCTGAAATAAGAAAAATTAAAAGGGGTGACTCATAGACATGAAAAAAGTGAAGTTCACCACATCCTCCAGAAGTCCAACCATATATATCAATCCTCAAATAAATATAGGTATTATATAATAATAACGACAACTTCTAAAATACATTTTTATTTAACATAGGTTAGGACGGTAAGGTCGTACTCAGTAATTTATTCACGTTAAAAATAATTTTAGTTAAAATTTAGGTACCTATATAATTTAATTTTTTTTTTTAATTACTATTAAAAAAAGTGGGTAAGTGGATGTCATTCTGTTGTATACAGTAGGTTATAAGTCCAGTCGATATCCACTTTTTACCGGGAAAGTATTCCGAAGTTAATGGCATTTTTTTCTTGGGGTACTCTAGGATGTCTATCCTTAGTCTTAGACCTCAAGGACCCTGTGCTAACTTATGGGAGGGGGGTGCAAAACCCTCAAAACTTTCAGACTTCTTTCATTTTTTCACTTATATCTCTTAAAATAATCATATTTTGTGTTCTATAGGGCTTAACAAAGTTTTAGGACATTAAGTTTTCTAAAATTTAGTTGGTGAAACTAATTTTTGGACCAAAAATTATACAAAATACAGCCGATTAAAGTTAGGCAAAGTTTTTCAAAATGTAAACAAATAGCTGATATAGGAAGGTTTTGGTTCTATAACTATTTAATACCATAATTTCTATGTTAATTATGTCAATCCCTCATCAATATCCACATCTAGGAACACCTATGACCTTCCATCCCCCACCCTTTCCCCTTCACAAACGTGAAGATTTTTTTTTTAAACCACCACCTGAAGGCTTTTTTATTATAACGATCAATGATCTTTAACAATACATTTAAGAGGTGTACATAAATATTAATAAATTAATGAATAAATATTTATTAAATATATACAAAAAAACATGTTTGGGTTATCAATCCCAGACCCCAATGGAGAGAGAGGTCCCAGCATTAGTCTAATAATTTATACTAGCTAAGTCATATGGTCTTCGGCGTTTGATACGCCTAATGTCTTGAAAGTTATCAAGTAGTTAAATTGCTGCTGGATTGGTGTGTTTATCTAGTCTTTTCTCGTGTTTTCTGGCAAACTTAGTTATCTCGTCCTGGATGGAGGTCATCATACAATCTCGGTGGATAATGTAATTTCTATCTTACCGGTATAGGTACTGCGACAATAGTACGGAGAGCAATGTTTTGACAACGTTGGATAATCTCAATATTGGACTTTGGGGGGGGGGGGCTAAATATATTAAAGGCAAGCAGACCATTGCAATATATCATATTAAAATTGTATGTCCTAGGTTTTTGGAGGGGCCACGGCTAAGTTTGGCGGCTTAGCACCCCTAAGCATCCCAATTTGAGCCTATGGGTCCCTATTCCAGAGTCAGGCACACCTGCAGATAAGTAGTACTAGGTGAAAAATACTTTTAGTGACAATATAAGCTGTGGGGGGCTGTACATTTATTTACATGGAACCTTGTTTAAAAATGCTTATATATTACATTTTCACACTTTTTGACCCAACAAATTAAATTTTATTGACTTTTTTTATTTTTATAAATATAATAGATTATAGATGTATATTATGTTTGATCTACTTAACTATTTGAAACAATAAAAAATTTTAAAAAAATAACTATAAAATAAATTACCTATAACTAATTAATAAAAATGGTCAAAATTCAGACATAAAAATGGTACATTTGGTAAAAAACATTTGATTACCTACTGATTCTTTTGTTTTTTTTTAAACACATATTTTTTAGCCTTTGTTCATATTTTTTTTTTTTTGTTAAAATGTACCAGGTTTGGATATTTAAAAATTTAATAATTGCTTTTGTATTTGATTCAAGTAGTTCAGTTGATCAAAAATATACATCCTTAGGTAATTTGTTATATTTATAAAAATATTTGAAAATATTAGACAATGGGCAAAAAAATAATTTCATATTAAATAGTAAGCTTTTTAAAAAAAATGGGGGGGAAATGTCTGCATCAAAAATATATCGGAGGGAGAATGTCCTACTAGATCAAAAACAGTCTGCAGGGGGTGGGAAATGTCCGCGATTCAATATTTTGTACTTTAAAAACAAGTGGCTCATTTCAAATTAACTCAATATTATATTCGCGTCAACACTTGACATACATCGTTGAAAGTTTATTTTCCACAATAAATTATGTATTTCAAATAAAAACAGAAGAATTATACATCCAGGACTAGTTTTTACTTTTTTTAGAACATTTAAAAAAATTGTGATTAAATAGTTTAGTGGCCCTTCGAAGTTCGAACTAACTGCTTAGCGGGCCTTCCTCTCTCAAATCAGTTATAATATATATAGTATAAATATATGATATTATAAATTGTTGGATGAAGGCACGCAGTTAAGTCTACTCGTGTTTTAAACTTTCATTAAACACTTAAAACTATAACAAAAAACAACTGATATTAAAATAACTTCGGTGGTTTTTTTTAAAACCTCCATCGGCCATCACCCTGAGAAAAAATTGTTTATAGGTACCCTATAGCTACCTATCATCAAATATTATATTACTGGTAAGTTCATTTTCTTAAAACAATACAATTTAAACTTTAAAGAATAGATACATATTTATAATGAGAACATGAGATTAGTTTTTTGTATGATATACCTATTACCTACCTAGG